TAGTATTTATATCCGCTTTATTCTTTGTAGTCTTTATGCTTTTCATTGAGAACCCTTGTATTTTCTATTTATTATAATAATATGACAATGTTATCAGCTGGAACCCAGTTTCCACGGGCGATTGGGTGCTACGACGTGGCAACTAGGGAAGCCCGACTGTTTTGTCGTAGAGTGCCCATGAGGTGGCACAAAGAGGCCACAACGTGGTGATCTGTCCAGCTGTCATAAACCGTTGACTTTTTGACCAAGGTGGCTTTTGGTCAACTATGAGGGTCTTGGTTTTTCTGTGGGGCAAAATGATCTTTTTCCTAAATTATAGATTAGACTCAGTTTTGGGTCTAATTAAATATGTGTAATTACCTTAATTGTTAATTAGGGTTATTTGGTATGATTAATAGGCGGAGTCTAGTTTCGGCAGTTCGGGTGTAAGTTATACCAATCATCTGTGCAATGTGAGTCTCCTCACTATTCTTACCTGTGTGGTAGAATATTTGTGTTGACCATCTGTGTCTATGTGTTATTACTGTGATATGTGTTGTTGTGTGTACCGAGACTTCGGGTAATCTCCAAGGTTGTTAATAACCCAAAGGGCGTGCTGTTTGCCCATCGAGAGTTCGTGTAGTCTCCAGGGTTGCTGATAACCCACAAGGCGTGCTGTTTGTCCACTAAGACTTTGGGTAGTCTCCAGGACTGTTGATAACCCATAACTGTTATTTTGTGTTGTGTTGTATGTGGTATTTTGGGGAACTCACTAAGCTTCATGTTTACAATTGTTAATTAAATGTGTTTCAGGTACTTCTGAGGATCACGGGAAGGTGAATGCTTGATTGTACACATTCGCCTACAACTCTATTTCCAGATATTTTAGGACACTCTAATATTTGATGATGATTTACACTTGTAATTTTCTTGGGATGGTTTTTATGAACAATATTTTTATGTGAATTTTAAAATGAAAAATTTGGTTTGAAAATTTGGATGTACATATAATATTGGTAAGACTATATGTCAAACTCTAGGGGAACATAGTGAATTAGTATTAAAATATCTAATTATCAGTTAAACTAAAGACGACAAAATAGAAAATGAAAATTTAAAACTAGGAAACAAAAGAGAACAAAAAATAAAAACAAGATGGAAAACTGATTCAGAAACGGATAACTAAATGTAATTCTACTTAGACTTGATTACACACTTCAATTATGGTTGATATTTATGTCGTGCAATATATATTAGTTGTTATTTATCGATTCCTAAGTTGATTCGTCCCCTTGGTCGGTTCACGAATCCTAATGATGATAAGGACAATTAACACAATAGTCATGTAATTAATAAATCCATAAAATCATTATTTAGTTCATATCATGCAAAATTTGATTAGTTAATTGATCTTCAGTGGTCATGTAAATCAGTGCACAAAATGGTCATAAAAAAACTATGATTTAAGTCTACACAATTAGATTGGTCCTCTAAATCATGTAAACTCAGAAAAAGACAATAAAGATACAAACTTCAATACATATGAATCTTTGATCAAACAAACAAGATAAATCAAATAACTTGTAACTTCCAAATAGAAATCAAACCAAAATATCTAGGGTTAATCTACATCTAAGCACAAAAGAAAAAGGGTATTAAGTCCCATATAAGAAGTAGAAAGCATAAATTAATCAGATTGGAATGCTAAACATAGTTAGAAAAGTAAACCAAATGCAATCCTAATAGTTATGCTCCTTGATCCTTCAGATTCCTACTCCATATCAGCCTTCCGACCTTGAAATCGACATTTGGATTCTTAAAATCGCACCTCTGATGTGTATGCTCTAATATATCTACATTAGGTTAAAGATAATGCCCTCTAAATAGATTTTTTTTGCTGACGTAAAGCACAACGTGTACGTCTTATGGACATGTGTGCAACTTTGCTTCCCCGACAAGTCAACATCTTTAATGTATCTACATATGAGTCTTCTTTGCCGTTCAACACATCGCATAATGGATTGGAACGCAACGTTTGTCACAAAATTGCCATTTTCCAGCTTCTTTCATTCCAACCTAAATTCCAGCTTCGTTTTGCTCCTTTTGTTCCCAACAACTTATTTATCTAAAAAATTAAAAATATCAATTTAAAGCATTATAAACACCTTTTATCTTAATTAACATCAAAATATATCATAAAATATAAAGATATTGCACGAAATAATTGTTTAAAACAAGTCATATATGATTAAAATTCGAAATGGGTGCTAACCTATTAGTCTTGAAAAAATAGATTAGAAGATTGAAAACAAAATACACATATTAACGAATCAGAAGAGATAATCTTTGATGTATGTTGCGTCTTTCACTTAAAGTTTAATGGTTTCTTTGTAAATGTTAGAATGAAACTAGACTCTTAAAGTAAAAAGCTGTGTACATTTAGTAATACAAATAATCACTTTTTGGAACCAAACATTTTTTTTGTTGGTTTGTACAAACGGATTATGGTCTTTTTAGGGGGTGTTTGTGATAGCTTTTTAACATAAAAAGAACTTTTTGAGAAAATCATTTTTTCCAAAAAGAGTTTTTTAAATGTGTTTGGGTTGACTTTTGAGTGGACAAAAGCCAAAAAACCAAAATTTACCAAAATTCATTAATTCTTGACTTCTAAAACAATTTATTTTTCTTCTTGTTAAAAAAATCAATCTAAAAAGACTTTTAGAATTGCCAAACATCTTTTTGAATTTTTAATTTTTTGAAAAAACTAATAGTACAAATACTCAATTTGAAAAGTAATTCCAAACACGCTCTTACTTTATGTTCCAAAGAAAATTGATCCCTAGAGTAAATCTCTAACTCCTAAAATTATGTTGTATTTGTGTGATTATCCTTTTATCAAATATATTCGAAAGTCTTAAACTAAGAAACTAGAGGCTGCTGCACTAGGAGCCAAGGCTCGACTAAGCGGCTACATTAAAAAGACCAGCGAAACATGGTCAATAAATGAATGGATCAAGTGCGCAGATCGCACCACGCCATTCTTATTTATTCCAGCGCACGTCTTTTTCATTGGTTGTTAATCACCAAATTGCAAAACAAAAGATAACATAATCACTCCTTACAGTTTTTAATACTTTTAATCTACCCCTTACTATTCTATTATTGGCATTAAAACCCACAAGTAACTTTATAGGAAACCAAAGTATCAATTTTTTGAACCACAAGAGCAAATTATTTTTGGATGTCAATATAAAACATAAACCCATGAAAAATTAACCTTATATGGAAAATATTTTAAATAATTTTTACAACTAGTTGAAGCAAATAAGCTAAATGTTAAATCTCAATCTCAACTACATGTGAAACCGTCACATTATCAAATATGATGGCTGTTTGCAATGCAAAACATGTTCATATCTCAAACTTGCATAAGAATGAAAACATGGTAGATTTCTACCGGTCTATCTAGTTTTATCTTTTATATAATAAACACGAGGTAACATAAGTTCACGATATAAAAACTACCTGTTAAATCTCGATTAGATGTGAAACCATCACGCCATAAAAAATGGTGGTTGTTTGCAATGCAAAACATGTTCATATCTCAAACTTGCATAACAATGAAAGCATGGTAGATTTCTACAAGTCTTTATCTAGTTTTGTCTTTTATATAATGAACACGAAATAACATAAGATCACGATATAAAAACTATAAGGTTATCTTTTAGTGCAATTATGACTCCAAATTGCACTATATATCATTTGAGAAATATACATAATCCTTATTTAAAATTTATTATGATGTTGCTACTATTTATATTTAATCATTGGAAATTGATACCTAAAGATTGGGTAAAGTAGAATACGACCAATAATGAAATAACAATGAATGCGGTATACATGATAATACAAATATAACACATACAATAAATGAACAAATTATGTGTAAGTATTATGATAAAACCTACTTCAAACCTAACGAGCTTTGTGTTTGTGAATATAACTATTTATTATATATTATGATATTTTGATTAATATAGTTAACCAGTATTTGAGCTCGCGTGTTGCAGCGGGTTGTTACGTGTTCTTACACATTAGGAATCATAATTGATTAAACCACCACAACTTTTTTGCATTATCATAAGTATAAGATAATTAGAAAAACTACTTCATAAGATATATACAAATGGAAAAGTAACCCATATGACATTAATTGATTTGAAGCAATAGTGACCCAGTAGCGCTTCGACGTGTTTCACAAAAGTTTTGTAAAAAGCTTGGAAATAATTGTTGAAATATTTTAAAAAGATGAGTGTTCCGACAAAAAACCATAAAGAAAAAAAATTAACATTTAAGTTGAGAAATGTAATAAAAAAATAATAAATAAAACTAAAACTAAAGTAAAAAACACCAAAATTTTAAAAGAAAGTAAGCATAGGGTGGCTTCTATAAAAAAGAAAAGAATATAGAAATCATTTTATAAATTAGATGACTAATGAATAAAGAAGAAGAATATAAAAGCCATTTTAGTAACTATAAACTCAATTCAAAAACTGGAATTTAGCATTTAAACACATAGGCACATTATAGCAAAGCAATCATGGTGTGTGCAAAATAGTATAACCCATGTAATAAAAAAATGGATAAAGAAATTTATATATATATATATATATATATATATATATATATATATATATATATATATATATATAAAGGGATTGTATAATGTGCATTAAAAACCATACTTTTAGCTATAGTAATTTATAGAGTGAATGTAGTTTACATTTTGTATATATTTACATTTTATTTTACAAACCAAATAAACTTTATATCTTATTAAAAGCCAATATGATTAATTAAAAGCATATTGCCCTTTGGAAGGTTGTCTAAATCTACTTTAATTGAACTACTAAATTTAGGCATAGAAAAAAGTTTTGGGGATCTTTCTGTAAATTTAGCATAAAACAAGGTTGTTTGTATAATTTTCTGTGGAGAAAAAGAGAAGAAAAAACCGAAATGCATTTCTATTTCTCCATCGAAGGCATCTTCACTGTCGCGGTGTATTTCTGCAAGTGTTTTGCCTTCAAGAATTCCCACTATACATACTCCCCACTCTGCTCCCTTCTCCCTCTTTCCTTCTCTCTCTAGATCTCTCACTTCCGAGAGATCAAATAGAGTTCTTCTTCTACGGTGGGTTGGAAATTCTTACCCGGCGGCGAGTCAATCAAATCAAATCCCTAATAGATCATAAACGCATCTGATCCGTCGTCGTTTTGATCTTTTCCGCCGTCACCATGGCGGCCGCTAACGCTCCGATCACTATGAAAGAGGCACTTACGGTAAACATATTTCTCTCTGTAAAGCATAGTTTCATCTTATACGAACAGATTGATAGATTCGCACTTTTACTGTTCGAAACCTAGCTCTGTTTACCCAATTTCGTCATTTCTATAGTATTTTGGACTTCTATCATGATGAATTAAGACGGCATAATCAATTTTGAGCTTTTATTGCTCTCGAGTTGTTTAGATTTGTTAGATTAGCAGATGTGATGTATACGTCCACTATATTTATTCTAAATCCTAGTCCTAAAATTGAATCACACTTCGATATTTCTTAACCTAGCTCAATTTGGTCAATTTCGCCTTTAGGAACCTCTTGGGTTTAATTAGGTTTAATCTGATTCGAAGTAATAGAATTTTCTAGCTTTTCCAATCTGTATCCTTTAGATTTGGGAGATAATGGAACTTCTGTGCTGTATATTTCCAGATCTATGGAAATTAAATGATTGATATGTTTCTGAAATCATAGTTCATAGTGATCTACTTGTGCACTGAATAATTGCATTGATTTTGAATTGTATGATGTTTCTGCAGCTGCCAAGTATAGGGATCAACCCACAGTTCATTACATTTACCAATGTAACGATGGAGTCAGATAAGTTTATATGTGTTCGTGAAACATCACCTCAAAATAGTGTGGTGATCATCGACATGAGCATGCCAAATCAGCCATTGAGGAGACCAATTACAGCTGATTCGGCTCTCATGAATCCAGTTTCCAGGATTCTTGCCCTAAAAGGTACAGTTTGTTATTTACCATCACATACATTGTGAATGACTTGCTTGATTCACATTGTTTTTGACTTTTTTCAAATACAAATGGCTTGCCCTTTGATAAACGAAACAAGAAATTAGAATTCCCAGCCTTCCAACAACCAATAGTATGATACTACAGCATAATGTACCAATCAATCTGCAACCCAACACCCTTAGAGAAACACTAACAGTGAGGTCAATTTATAGCTATATGGCTAATGAGCTAATCAACAGTGTAATTTTCTTGAAGCTCAACTTCCTGGAACAACTCAAGATCACCTACAGATATTTAATATTGAGATGAAAGCTAAGATGAAGTCTCATCAGATGCCTGAGCAGGTCACAACTATAATATCATTCAGTGATTTGTAGTATTTCTACCTTTTCTTTGATAACACTGACATTTTATGTGACTTCACTTCATCTTCAGGTTGTTTTCTGGAAGTGGATTACACCTAAAATGTTGGGCATGGTAACCCAAACATCAGTATATCATTGGTCAATTGAAGGTACCCTGTCTTTGTATTCCCTGTAGTGACACAACATGATGCTTTCTAGTTTCTTCCACTTTGTATTTCTTGGAGTTATAGCACTTGATAAACTCAGTCATTCAATATATTTGTATACAGGTGATTCTGAACCTGTGAAGATGTTTGATAGGACAGCAAATTTATCAAACAATCAGATTATTAATTACAAATGTGATCCATCTGAGAAATGGTTGGTTTTGATTGGAATTGCACCTGGTTCACCTGAGGTTTGTCATCATTCTCTAGTTATATTCCATCATATTTAAATTCTATTTTTATCATTACAAGATTATTTCCCAATTTTCCAGTTATAACCTTCCTATATTTGTAATATGAACAGAGACCACAGCTAGTGAAAGGAAACATGCAGCTTTTTTCTGTTGATCAGCAGAGAAGTCAAGCTCTTGAAGCACATGCAGCATCATTTGCCTCATTCAAAGTGCGAATCTTTCCTTTCATTATATTATAAAACTGATGCTTCCTTTTCCTCCATATTTGTAATGATCAATATTAATCAAATATTGTTATATCTTATACAGGTTCAAGGCAATGAGAATCCTTCAATTCTTATTTCTTTTGCAACAAAAAGTTCTAATGCTGGACAGGTCACATCAAAGCTGCATGTCATTGAACTCGGTGCCCAACCAGGTTTCATTTTTGACACTATCTTTTCATTTTTTAAAATTTTTTAAAAGTTTCTTTTTAATCTGACATATATTTTTGCTTTTTAAATTGCAAATAATATGCAGGGAAACCAGCTTTTACCAAGAAACAAGCAGATCTGTTTTTCCCCCCTGACTTTGCAGATGATTTTCCAGTTGCTATGCAGGTACCTTTTGTCTTTTGAAATAATAAGCTTGCAATATTATATTATCTGACATATATATTTATAAATTTGCAGATATCCCACAAATATGGTTTGATTTATGTCATTACCAAATTAGGGCTTCTATTTGTATACGATCTAGAAACTGCTACTGCAGTGTACAGAAACAGAATCAGTCCAGATCCAATTTTTCTGACATCAGAAGCTTCATCAGTTGGAGGGTTTTATGCTGTTAATAGACGTGGACAGGTGTTACTTGCCACTGTAAATGAATCAACAATTGTCCCTTTTGTTAGTGGACAGGTAAGTTTTTAAACTTTTATTTTTTTAATCAATGACTGATATGTTAATTTTACTTTTGGAATATTAATTTGATGTTTTATTTCAGTTAAACAACTTGGAGCTTGCTGTTAATCTTGCCAAACGTGGAAATCTACCTGGTGCAGAGAATTTGGTGAACTTTCTTATTATTACATGTCACGAGTTTTTATTTATTTATTTATTTTTTTGTTTTCGAGAATTATTGACTAATTGACTTTTGTATATCTCAGGTTGTTCAACGTTTCCAAGAATTATTTGCTCAAACCAAATACAAAGAAGCTGCTGAGCTGGCAGCAGAATCTCCTCAAGGCATTCTTCGTACACCGGATACAGTTGCAAAATTTCAGGTATTTACTTTTGCTATTAGTAGATTACCAAAATGGTCCCTGAGTATCACTGTTTTTTGCAATATTGGTCCCTTTTCTAAACTATGTTAAATTCCGCCCATTAGGCGTCGCACATGCATTCCATAAGAGGGCAAATTGGTCTTTCCTCACTGTATAGGGATCATCTATGAAAGTATAATGATAACAAAAAGTCGCGGTAACTTGTGAAGGGGTACGAGAGAGAATGGAAAAAGACCAATTTGCCCCCTTGTGCAATGCACATGCAACGGAATATAACACCGTCCGGAAAAGGGATCAAAGTTTATAGCAAACCACAAGATAAGGACCAAAATTGCAAGACGAAACTTGTAGGGACTAAAATTGAAAAAAACAATGATACACGAGGACCATTTTGGTAATTTTCTGTTTGCTTAACCTTTGTGTATCTCTTTGCAGAGTGTACCAGTGCAAGCGGGGCAAACACCACCATTACTTCAGTACTTTGGGACCCTTTTGACAAAAGGAAAACTGAATGCATTTGAATCATTGGAACTATCTCGCTTAGTTGTCAATCAGAATAAAAAGAATCTTCTAGAGAATTGGTTAGCTGAAGACAAGTTGGAATGCAGTGAGGAACTTGGAGACCTTGTGAAGGTATGAAGCACAAAAGTTTACAAGATTTTGTGTTTACTAATTCTGACATTTGTGTATCTTCTTTGAATTGTAGACAGTGGACAATGATCTTGCATTAAAAATTTACATAAAAGCTAGAGCCACACCCAAAGTTGTTGCAGCTTTTGCTGAAAGAAGAGAGTTTGATAAAATTCTGATTTACTCCAAGCAGGTATGCTGCATATCTTTAACTGCAGTAATTTACTAATTTGTTGCTATTTCTGTACATTTACTCTTCATCTTGCTTTAGATCCTTATAAAGTTGTCTTTAATTGATGCAGGTTGGGTATTCACCTGATTATCTGTTCCTTCTGCAAACAATTCTTCGATCAGATCCTCAGGTATTAAACATCCGTAAGAGTTATTTATTTATTTTTATTTATTTTTTCATTAAAGTAATTGGTTTTTGCAGGGTGCTGTAAATTTTGCTTTAATGATGTCCCAAATGGAAGGAGGTTGTCCTGTTGATTACAACACCATTACAGATCTTTTCCTTCAGGCATGTTATGTGAACCATCTTTATAACATTTCATAAACAATTTTAAATATTAAAATAAATTACTTCATTGTTAAAAGTTAAAAAACTAATTTTAAATTTTATTTCTTCCATCTCCTCAGAGGAACTTGATACGTGAGGCAACAGCTTTCCTTTTGGATGTTCTTAAACCCAATTTGCCTGAACACGCTCACCTCCAAACCAAGGTTACATATATGATATATCCTCGCACACAATTTATAATCACCTTTTAATAAAACCAATTTTAAATTAATTTTTCATATTTTCCACAGGTCCTTGAAATCAACCTTGTAACATTCCCCAATGTTGCTGATGCCATATTAGCTAATGGGATGTTCAGTCACTATGATCGACCTCGAATTGCTCAACTTTGTGAGAAAGCAGGTCTTTATGTCCGGGCCCTTCAGGTTGGTTAATGTCCAGAATTTACTTGTTTTTTTTTTTTTTACCTTAAAACCTGTATCACTTTTTTGATTTATTATTATTATTTTTTTGCAGCATTACAGCGAGTTGCCAGATATCAAACGTGTCATTGTGAATACCCATGCAATAGAGCCACAGTCTCTTGTGGAATTTTTTGGGACTTTATCACGGGAATGGGCTCTGGAGTGCATGAAGGATCTTTTATTGGTCAATTTGAGAGGAAACCTTCAGATCATCGTTCAGGTAACAATGGATCTGATTTTTCTATGTTAATGGTTATTATTTGAACATCAGAGTTGAACCTATTTGGTACTGATACAATCATGTGGAATGTAGGTTGCCAAGGAGTATTGTGAGCAGCTGGGCGTTGAATCATGCATTAAAATTTTCGAACAATTTAAATCATATGAAGGCCTTTACTTCTTCTTGGGGTCGTATTTGAGCTCAAGGTAATCTCTTTCTCTTCAGATGACTTGGATTTTGTCTTTTGTGCTTGCATACGTCCATTTTTACTAACACCCATCATTATCACAGTGAGGATCCTGACATACACTTCAAGTACATTGAGGCAGCTGCAAAGACAGGGCAAATCAAGGAGGTTGAACGTGTAACAAGGGAGTCAAATTTCTATGATGCCGAAAAGACCAAAAACTTCCTAATGGAAGCCAAGCTTCCTGATGCAAGGCCATTAATCAACGTGTGTGATCGCTTTGGCTTTGTTCCAGATCTCACTCACTACCTTTATACCAACAACATGCTTCGGTATATTGAAGGTTATGTTCAGAAGGTATAAAATATCATCACTCATTCCATTCCATCCAACAAAACCTCTGAAGGCTTATCTGTTATCTGTGTAGGTCAACCCCGGGAACGCGCCCCTAGTTGTCGGACAACTCCTAGACGATGAATGCCCTGAGGATTTCATCAAAGGTTTAATCCTATCCGTTCGATCTCTTCTTCCAGTCGAGCCTCTCGTGGATGAGTGTGAAAAGAGGTTTGTTTTTTCTTCTCTTACTTGTATTTATCCTCATACTGTTATTAATATATCAATTTGTTTTATATCTTACAGGAACCGACTTCGTTTACTAACTCAATTTCTAGAACACCTAGTAAGTGAAGGAAGTCAAGACGTCCATGTCCACAACGCATTAGGCAAAATCATCATAGACAGCAACAACAACCCCGAACACTTCCTCACCACCAACCCCTACTATGACTCCCGCGTTGTCGGTAAATACTGCGAGAAACGCGATCCCACGCTCGCAGTCGTAGCATACCGCAGAGGCCAATGTGACGATGAACTCATCAACGTAACAAACAAAAACTCCCTCTTCAAACTCCAAGCCCGTTACGTCGTCGAACGCATGGACAGCGACCTCTGGGAAAAAGCCCTCAACCCAGAAAACGAATACAGACGCCAGCTCATCGACCAAGTCGTCTCCACCGCATTACCTGAAAGCAAAAGCCCCGAACAAGTCTCCGCTGCTGTTAAAGCCTTCATGACTGCCGACCTCCCACATGAACTCATCGAACTCCTCGAAAAAATCGTCCTCCAAAACTCCGCTTTCAGCGGAAACTTCAACCTCCAGAACCTTCTTATCTTAACCGCAATCAAAGCCGACCAATCACGCGTCATGGATTATGTCAACCGGTTAGACAACTTCGACGGGCCCGCAGTCGGTGAGGTGGCGGTGGAAGCTCAGTTATACGAAGAAGCATTCGCGATATTCAAAAAGTTTAACTTAAACGTTCAAGCCGTTAATGTTTTGTTGGATAACATTCAGAGCATTCCACGTGCTGTTGAGTTTGCGTTTCGTGTTGAAGAGGATGCGGTTTGGAGTCAAGTGGCGAAAGCTCAGTTGAGAGACGGATTAGTGAGTGATGCGATTGAGTCGTTTATTCGTGCTGATGATGCGACTCAGTTCTTGGATGTGATTCGGGCTTCCGAGGATACGGATTGTTACCATGATTTGGTTAAGTATCTGCTTATGGTAAGAGGAAAGGTTAAGGAGCCGAGGGTGGATAGTGAGCTGATTTATGCGTATGCCAAGATTGAGAGGTTGAGTGATATCGAGGAGTTTATTTTGATGCCGAATGTTGCCAATTTACACAGTGTTGGTGATCGTTTGTTTGACGAAGCGTTGTATGAAGCTGCCAAGATTATATACGCTTTTATTTCAAACTGGGCTAAGCTTGCCGTGACACTTGTGAGGCTGCAACAGTTTCAAGGAGCAGTTGATGCAGCACGGAAAGCAAATAGTGCAAAGACTTGGAAAGAAGTTTGTTTTGCTTGTGTTGATGCTGAGGAGTTTCGATTGGCTCAGATATGTGGGCTTAATATTATCGTGCAGGTATTGTAATCTTTTAACTCTAGTGCATATACAATGTTGTTTTATCGTGTAGTATATAAAGTTTTCATAAAATTTACAGGTGGATGATCTTGAAGAAGTCAGTGAATTCTACCAAAACCGTGGATGCTTCAACGAACTAATTCTACTCATGGAAAGTGGTCTAGGCTTAGAACGGGCCCACATGGGAATCTTCACCGAATTAGGTGTCCTCTACGCCAGATACCGACACGAAAAACTAATGGAGCACATTAAACTCTTCTCAACACGTCTCAACATTCCAAAACTAATCCGTGCATGCGATGAACAACAACACTGGAAAGAACTCACGTATTTATACATCCAATACGATGAATTCGACAACGCTGCTACTACTGTCATGAATCATTCCCCAGAAGCTTGGGATCACATGCAATTCAAAGACATCGCTGTCAAAGTAGCAAACGTTGAGCTTTATTACAAAGCAGTTCATTTCTATTTGCAAGAACATCCGGATCTCATCAACGATGTTCTCAATGTCCTTGCATTACGTGTTGACCACACACGCGTTGTTGACATCATGCGTAAGGCTGGTCAACTTCCTCTAGTGAAACCATACATGGTTGCAGTTCAAAGCAACAACGTATCTGCTGTGAACGAGGCTTTGAATGAAATATATGTCGAGGAAGAAGACTATGATAGATTACGTGAATCTATTGATTTACATGATAACTTTGACCAGATTGGTCTTGCACAGAAGGTGAGAGGCCACTACAGGCCGCTTCTTATTTTTACAGGGGTAGTTTGGTCATTTACTTGTTTCTGACATCCAAAATTTTGATTCATTGTAGATTGAGAAACATGAGCTTCTTGAGATGAGACGTGTGGCTGCATATATTTACAAGAAGGCAGGTAGATGGAAGCAGTCTATTGCTTTGTCTAAGAAAGATAAAGTTTACAAAGATGCAATGGAGACTGCTTCACAATCTGGAGACCGTGAGCTTGCTGAGGAGTTGCTTGTTTATTTCATTGAACAGGTACACTTAAAAATAGAAATGTAGTTTCTTTTATTTCCAATATTTTAAAATTTGTTGGTTATAATCTCGTGTGTCGCATGTGCAGGGTAAGAAGGAATGCTTCGCTTCCTGTCTGTTTGTTTGCTACGATCTGGTCCGTCCAGATGTGGCTCTTGAACTAGCCTGGTTAAACAACATGATGGATTTCGCCTTCCCATATCTACTTCAGGTAAAAATAAAAACCATCCACATCACATAAATAATATTAAATTAGTGGTTTAAATTTTAATTTGTTTTCTTGTAGTTTATCCGTGAATATACCAGTAAAGTTGATGACCTAATCAAAGACAAAATAGAATCAATCAAGGAATCCAAGGCCAAAGAGAATGAGGAGCAAGATGTCATTAAACAACAGGTTTTGAACTGAACTTGTGATTTTGAGTAAAGTACAGGGATTAAACATGTAAATTACTTTAGTTTGTAAGATGCTCATGTTTTCTTTTTCTTTTTTTGGCAGAATATGTATGCTCAACTACTCCCTCTTGCGCTACCTGCGCCACCTGGCATGGGCGGTGGATACGGTCCACCGCCACCAATGGGCGGCGGTGGAATGGGGATGCCGCCAATGCCGCCGTTCGGGATGCCGCCAATGGGATCTTATTGATTGATGTGGATTGTGGGGAGTTTAGTGAATAGTCGATGGTTGTTTGTTGCGTATAATGTGTTTTTTTTTTAGTGTGGATATGTTTTTCTTGTAATATTCTTTTGGGTAGACAGACAGACAAAGACAGGAGGCATTTTTTGCAGCAGCAAAATGAGTATTATTATAATGGTGGTGAATTGTGTAATTTGTACCAAAACAAAGGGGGTTGGTTGTTTGATAGGATGGATTGGATAGGATTGATGGATGGGTATGCTACTTTTTTTTTTTTTTTTTACTGGTTTTATTTCAACATGTATTACATGGTCTTTGGATTTTGTTTTATTTTTGCTTCTTTTGATTAATTCTACTTTGATCTCATAATTCAACATTAACAGTTGTAACGTTTTTAACATATGTTTCTACTTTTATGATGGGAATTTTACTTTTATTAAATGCTTTTCTGAATCTGTCTGGCAAAAAGAAAGAAAAAGGTTTGATTGAAAATAAAGTGAAAAAAGTTACACGAGAAGCTGATTTTTTCTCCTAGGAAAATGTTATATTTTGGCAGTTTTCAGGTTTTACAGTTGTATTAGACTATTGTGGAGATGATATTCCAGTTGGTATCCATACACAAATTCACTCACTCCCATCTCATTCTATCCTCTTTTTCCAAGGTTAGCCATTCAACACCACATTCTAACTTCTGACAAGAATGTCAAGATCAATGAGGTGGAGTTTATGTGGATTGTGGTGCCGTTCAGCCTTAGAGTTGTCCTGCTAACGTTTGTTCTATGTTGACCACTTTTAAATTTGATATAACAGTGGTCACAGTAGAAAAATTCTTTGAAGTTTAGTGGTTTTAATGAAAATTTGATGTTAATTATTCTATTAAAGCAACTAAAATTCCACATTTTTTTTATCATGACTGGGGGACTGTTGCCTTGTAGGTCAAAGTTAGGGGGTGGTAAAAAACCGAAACCAAACCAAATGATGTTTCATTTTATTTGGTTTGGGTTATTTGGTTATTCGGTTGATTTGTTTTCGTTAACCGAATAACAATACCATATTTGGTTTTGGTTAAACCGAATAAGCTTAATTAATATATATTTTTATAGTTTATATTTATAAATTATATTTTATATTTAAATTAATAGATTAGTTGCTAAAAAAAGATTTTTATAGCTCGTTATTTAATTATTAATCATTATAAGTTTATGATTTTTATATTTCGTATTAAAAAGCAAAAACTAATTAACCAAATGTCAATTAATCTTCGATCATTTCTTTCTTCTTCATATACGACTAAAATTATATTAACCCGTCTCTACAACATGTATGACTACATCGACATTTCAAAACAACAAATCATGAAAGACCGAAAATAATATGTTATATATTAGTGTTTTTTTTTTCTTTTTTTGGGTAAAAGTTTAGTAAAGTACTTTTTTTATTAATTTAGTATTTATTTTTATATGCGTAATTTTATTTGGTTTAACTGGTTAACGGAACTGAATAAACCGTAACCGAATTACCTAAAACATATTAAACCGAACCTTATGTGGTTTGATTATGGTTAGTTTTAAGATGTAAGAAAAACCAAAAAATCGAACCGATTAAACCGAAAATCGAAAAAACTAACCGATAACAACCCTGGTCAAAGTGGTCGAATTTTTTTTTCAAACTTTGATAGCTTTCATTAATGGAGTTGTATTTTGATAAAGGTAAAACAAAATAGAGTGTAATTCTGCAAGTTGAAAAACTTTTTTCTCTAACAAATATATATATATATATATATATATATATATATATATATATATATATATATATGATGGAGATTAGTGTCCATCGTCATAACAAACCCGGTAATATTACTATATATAATAATGTCATTTTGGATTACATGCAATAGCAAAATAAAACATAACTGAAAGGATATTTATATCAAGGATTTGTTTTGTTAATTAAATAATTAAAAAATAAAGGAATATAGAATATTCTAGAATGATTTGAAATATCAAAGATAATTATAAATATATTTGGTAATTATCTTTAGGGTTTCAAATCATTTCCCTATATATAGAGAGCTCCAAATCCGGTTTTGATACATAAGAAAAATACCCTTTAGTCACCGAAGTTCGGAACCCTAAAAAATCTTAAAATTCCTGAAGTGCAGTTCCTACGTCGTGGCCTTTTATTCACCGCATCTTGGTCCCTAGCAGATCTGAGTTCTTCGTTTCTATTAGTCGTTCTTGTTCGAGGATTGCTTGGTTTTGCTAGATTTTTGTTTCTTGGGTGCGATTGCAGAAGAGGAACTCTTCGTTGGGTTCTCTAGTCAAATCAAATGGATAAACAAAAGAAGAAAACCACCAAGAAAGCAAATGTATGATTCGTTCTCTTGTGTCCTTCAAGTTGCATAGATTTGTTTGAGTTTGATCTGCTTGTTTCGAGTCGTTAGATCAAAATTTGTTGTTGTTTCCGCTGCCCTTGTTTTGGTCTTTGACTAGGATTGAAACCCATCAGTGGTATCAAAGAGTAAGTTAACTCAAGGATTTTCTCATACTCATGTTATTGAATATGGTCCTCATCATACTCATGACATTGAATGTGATCAAACTTTTTTCACATGTAGCTACGATTAGATCAACAAGAATATTATTTTCTATAAATTCATATTCTTAATATGAGATATAGTAAATAGATTTCAAGAAAGACCGTTTTTCTTAATAGACATCTACTGGGAGATATCTATATAGATTAACCTGGAAGTTTTCTTAATCCAAGTTATCCTAACAAAATGTGTAGACCTTGAGATCCACTTGTGGTTATAAAGCAAACATCTCAATGTTGCAATCATCATTTTATGTAAAACCACAAGGTATGTTTTTATATCAAACTGAATAGAACATGTGTGTTTACTAAGAACTAGTGGGAGCATAGTGAAATTCCTAATCTTGTATGAGTGAGACATACTTAATCATTTGAAATCACATTCAGACTAAGCAATGTCGTTTTCACCTTGACTCGGAAAGTGTTTCTAAATAAAATGAATGTTAAAAGTTTCATGTCCTTATATGTGTATTGGCTATATCTTGAAAGGGATCAAGGCACAAGATTCTTTTGGAGAATTCTTGGCATTGTCATATGACAACATTTTGAGCTAGCCTCAAAAGTACATAGCTCATAGGCTTGAACTAGATGAAATGATTTATATTCTATTTGCTTGGAAAATGAATTCATCATTTATGCCATATTATGCATAGGACATGGTATTTGATCATGCTGTAAGCATGTTATAGGATACTAATTGAATACATGGTTAAGTCATTGGATGACTAAGAGAGCATTTTAAGAGTACTTTTAAGAACTAAGAGAATACATATGAGACAATCAGTTTAGAAAGGATCTTGATGGAAAGAGCTACACAAGATGTTAATTTCTAAACAAATATAAATAATAAGACCGTTTTTCTTAATAGACATCTACTGGGAGATATCTATATAGATTAACCTGGAAGTTTTCTTAATCCAAGTTATCCTAACAAAATGTGTAGACCTTGAGATCCACTTGTGGTTATAAAGCAAACATCTCAATGTTGCAATCATCATTTTATGTAAAACCACAAGGTATGTTTTTATATCAAACTGAATAGAACATGTGTGTTTACTAAGAACTAGTGGGAGCATAGTGAAATTCCTAATCTTGTATGAGTGAGACATACTTAATCATTTGAAATCACATTCAGACTAAGCAATGTCGTTTTCACCTTGACTCGGAAAGTGTTTCTAAATAAAATGAATGTTAAAAGTTTCATGTCCTTATATGTGTATTGGCTATATCTTGAAAGGGATCAAGGCACAAGATTCTTTTGGAGAATTCTTGGCATTGTCATATGACAACATTTTGAGCTAGCCTCAAAAGTACATAGCTCATAGGCTTGAACTAGATGAAATGATTTATATTCTATTTGCTTGGAAAATGAATTCATCATTTATGCCATATTATGCATAGGACATGGTATTTGATCATGCTGTAAGCATGTTATAGGATACTAATTGAATACATGGTTAAGTCATTGGATGACTAAGAGAGCATTTTAAGAGTACTTTTAAGAACTAAGAGAATACATATGAGACAATCAGTTTAGAAAGGATCTTGATGGAAAGAGCTACACAAGATGTTAACTTCTAAACAAATATAAATAATTATGAATTATAATTGGATTTTGACTTCATTATGGAATGAAAGGTAAGTTTTGTTGGAATGAGGTCCAAGCAAAACATAATGACACAATCTACTACAAAATAAGAATACACTACTTTAGAAGTTGAATTCAAATATGATTGGACGAATGAGATCATTAAAAAATTATGTTGATATCTGCCATTCAAGGATCACATAGAAATCTTTGTGACTTCAAGATCACATAGAAATCTTTGTGACTTCAAGAGTATACTTAATCTAGATAAGAGACTCTATGTCACGAAAGAACACCAATCATATTCTCTAAGATATTTAACTATACTTAGAGTAAAGTTAAGAATGGAGATGATAGTATTCACAAAATTCACACAAATTAAATTTTGTCAAATCCATTGATAAAGTCATTCTTTTGAGCTAAGTATGAGTGGTCACACTTCAGCTACAAGACTTTATTATTCTAGAAATGGGTTTTGATTTGGATTTGGTATTTGGATATTGGAACATTATAACAACAACTATTAGATAATGTTATGATATATTGGGATATAGTCATCACATAGTACTTGTTGTGTTATATATTAACATGTTTAATCCATGAATAATGTTATTATTCTAAAAGTTCATAGTCGGTTATAATTGTGGGAGCAATTATGAAGTAAGACTAATATGAATTGGATTGGTTGACTCTCACTAGATGAAAGTAGGCAAGTGGTTGTAACCAAGTTTCATAGGTACTCGTCAGAGAACTAGTATTGAACTGACCCGAATCAAAATCATCTCATGGATCGCTATCATGAATGATACTTGATTAAAAGGTACTATCTTTGTATCCTTAACACCTGAGATACATAGTGGGACTTAAGTGTAGGGAATACTATGCTTTGATATGGTCAAATGTTGTTCCCTAACCGGGCAGTTATAAAAGCCATTTTTAGGTATGGTGTGAACTATGCAAGAGGATTATGTAGTCAAGATGGGATTTGTTCCTCTTATGTGTTGAGAGTTAGACATCTAAGGCGCCTTACCAAAAGTTGAACAACTAATGAGATTGATCGTGATCCGAATCTCATGTTCAACACGATGTCTGTAGCAAAGGGAT